GTTACAGAAGAGATAAGCTGCTTGGTCGATCTAAGAATTTGCAATTGAAGTTAAGACAAACCAAGCCACCTTCCCACCTCTTCCACTGTTCAGGAGTGATACCAATGTCTTATTCATTTAATGAAACACTAGGAATCATGAAACTGAGTTGTATTTTGGAGAAAAGGAATCAAAAGTCTCTCTCTTATTAAAGATACCAAAAAGACAATTTAAAATAAATATTCTGTTTGACTTTGTATTAATCTGTTTTCATGCTGCTGATAAAAAAAACATATTAAAGACTGGTCAATTTACAAAAGAAAGAGGTTTAATGGAGAACTCACTTATGCAAATTTCTGCAGTAGCTTTAGTTTCTCCTCAGACAATAAGATTTTCTTTTCTATTGCATCGTCAGGCTGCAAATTTTACAAACTTTTATGCTCTGTTTCTCTTTTAAATCTGAATGCCTTTAACAACACCCAAGTCTCCTGTTGAATGCTTTGCTGCTTGGAAATTTCTTCCCCCAGATACTCTAAATTATCTCTCTCAAGTTCAAAGCTCTACAATCTGTAGGGCAGGGACGAAATGCCGCCAAGTCTCTTTGCTAAAACAGAACAAAAGTCACCTTTGCTACAGTTCCCAACAAGTTCCTCACCTCCATCTGAGACCACCTCAGCCTGGACCTTATTGTTCATATCACTAAGCATTTTCGTCAAAGCCATTAAACAAGTCTCTAGGAAATTCCAAACTTTCCCACATTTTCTTATCTTCTCCTGAGCCCTCCAAACTGTTCCAACCTCTGCCTGTTACCCAGTTCTAAAGTCATTTTCACATTTTTGGGTATCTTTTCAGCAACATCCCATTCTACTCGTGCCAATTTAGTGTATTAGTCCACTTTCACACTGCTGATAAAGATACCCAAACCTGGGCAATTTACAAAAGAAAGAGGTTTAGTGGAGAACTCACAGTTCTATGTGGCTGGGGATGCCTCACAATCATAGCAGAAGGCAAGGGAGGACAAAGCCATGTCTTACATGGATGGCAGCAGGCAAAGAGAGCTTGTGCAGGCAAACTCCTGTTTTTAAAGTCATTAGATCTCTTGAGACTTATTCACTATCATGAGAACAGCATGGGAAAGACCCACCCCTATGAGTCAATTACCTCCCACTGGGTTCCTCCCATAACACATGGGAATTGTGGGAGCTACATGGTGAGATTTGGGTAGGGACACAAGGCCAAACCATATCAGATTTATTTTCAAACCACATCAGATTTTATTTTATTTGAAATAAAATTTTAAGAAAATGTAATTCCATTTTCTTAAAAAACAAATGCAAGATGCTTTTTAAAGAAATTATTTACACATATTCCAATGGGTGTATATATTTTGTTACCATAAAAAGGCAATGTACACAAATGCTTGTATATGAAGAAGAAACAGATCATAGGCTACATGTAAAAATGATAAAGGGCTGCAGCCAATTAAGCTGATGGAGTTCCTTTCCTCATGGGGGCCTGGTGTGCAATGGCTGCAAACGGCTGCTTCTTTGGTAGTGTTTGCAGCCTGCTATTGTATGGGTGGCTCTAAGGGACCTTGGAGACAGGCCTTTCCAATGTATGTTCATGTCTTTGACGTTGCACTACCCTCAGTGTAGGCCCCAAACAGGTATTTGAGATGCCTTTGTGAAAGCCCCAGGGCACTGTGGCCAGGGTTCACATTGGCCAAGTCATCATATATATCCTCACTGAGCCACAGAACAAGGAGCATGTGATTGAGGACCTACGAAAGGCCAAGGCCAAGTTCAGGTTCCCTGGACGTCAGAAGATGCACTTCTCAAAGAAGTGGGACTTTACCCAGTTCAATGTGGATGAATTTGAAGAGATGGTGGCTGAGAAGCAGCTTATTCCAGATGGCTGTGGGGTCAAGTACACCCCCAATCCTGACCCTTTGGACAAGTGGTGGGCCCTGCACTCATCAGGGCCTGTACTGTACGGCATCCTCCTACTGTCCACCAATAAATCCCACTTTTTGTCTACCTTAAAAAAAAAATTAGCCATGTTTGGCTAATAAACACCATATGAAGATTATTTCTGACATGTAATCTCTTAATTACAGATACACAGAAAAGGCCAGTCATTAATCACCCCAAATTGGAAGCAACCAAGATGTCCTTCAGTGTGTGAATGGATAAGCAAACTATGGTGCATTCAGATAACAGAATATTTCTGAGCACTAAGAAGAAATGAGCTATCAGCCCTGAAAAGATGCAGAGGATATTACGGGCATATTACTAAATGACAGAAGCCAGTCAGAAATGGTTACAAACATACTATTCCAACTATATGACATTCTGGAAAAGGCAAAACCACGGAGACAGTAAAAAGATCAGTGATTACCAGAGGTTGGAGAAGGGTTGAAACAGGTAAGATGGATAGGTGGACAACAGGGAAATTTTAGATCAATGGAGCTACTTCTGTAATAATGGATACAGAACATTATGCATTTGTCAAAATCCATATAACTGTACAATACAAAGAGTGAATTTTAATGTATACCATGGATTCAATTAATAACAATGTATCCATATTGATTTGTCAATCAATTGTAATAAATGTACTACATTAATGCAAGATGGTAACAGCCTAACTGTTGGGCAGAGAGAGATGCATGGGAGCTTTCTGGACTTTCTGCTCAGTTTTTCTGGGAACCCAAAGCTGCCCTCAAAAAACTAAAACTAAAACTAAAACTAAAACCCAGTTTAAGAACAAAGTGAATGCTGTTTAAACATAATAATAGTAAAAGGCTAGTAATAACATACTAACGTTGAAAACCAGTATTTCAAAACCAAGTCAGGAGTATGATGCGCTCATTTATGGTTTTTGTGTGTTTGTTTGTTGTTGTTTACAAAGTTACGAGATGCTGTCCTTCGCTGTCCAGTTTTCAGCGGTCCAGTTTGTCCGGTCTTGGAGTTGGTGTGAGTCCTCCCTCCGTGGTTCTGGCACTCGGGAAGGAACCAGGCGGGCTGCAGATTTGGCGCGCCCTCGTCTGCCCACATGTCCTTGGAAAGCGCAGGCTTCATGTGTTTTTCTGCGCCCCCGCCAGGGTGCACGGGGAGAAGAGGCACATCCCGTGTGCTGGCGTGGCGATCACTGTGGACATGGCTCCCGGCTCCACCCGTCCGCTTAGCCCCGGTGTTCTATCAGGGCAGAGCAAGGGGGTCTGCCCTCCAACACCTTTGGCACTTCCTGTTCGCGGGATGCAAACGGCAGCCGTGGCTCACAGGGTGCAGGAGCAAGCGGTCAGGGCAGTAGGAAGAGAAGCCCAGAGCAGGGCTGGTTTGTTTCCCCGCCTCCTCTGGTCCAGCTGAGGGTCTTAAACCCGCCGTGCAACAGACACAGGTACCTGCTCAGGACGCTCAGTCAGTGATGCAAGAAGCCTGAGTCGCTGTGCATCGTGTTTAAAAATAAACACTGACCGGGCGCGGTGGTTCACGCCTGTAATCCCAGCACTTCGGGAGGCCGAGGTGGGTGGATCACGAGGTCAAGAGATCGAGACCATCCTGGTCAACATGGTGAAACCCCGTCTCTACTAAAAACACAAAAAATTAGCTGGGCATGGTGGCGCGTGCCTGTAATCCCACCTACTCAGGAGGCTGAGGCAGGAGAATTGCCTGAACCCAGCAGGCGGAGGTTGCGGTGAGCTGAGATCGCGCCATTGCACTCCAGCCTGGGTAACAACAGTGAAACTCCGTCTCAAAAAAAAAAAAAAAAGAAAAGAAAGAAAGAAAAAAGAAAAATAAAAGAGTTCTAGTATTTTGATGCTGGGATAATTCTATAATCTTTTATCATTTTAATTCAAAAATTTGATAAGACGTGCCATTAATTTTGCTTGTTCCTGCACTAAGAACATTTTCTGGATACAAGCTACTTGCCTTTCATTCCATCTCTGGGTCCCGTGAATACCATGCCAGGTACCTTCAAGCCTCCTCACCTTTCTGCAAATGTCCTGAAGTATATACCCCTGCCTCCTCTGCCTGAAAACTTCCTCCTCATTATAAAATTTTGTCATCGTTTAACAAAACATATAAGTTTATAATTATATTATTTAGAGCAAAGTGGAGGCTTATCATTTTTTGCAAATAATGTTTTTCTCTTCTGTGCTTTTATAAATGGTAACATGTATTATATACACAAAACGACTTTTAACAACATATAAGCAACATACTACTACTAATAAAATGCATTTTGCACCTATCATCCCTGCTGAGAAATAGAACTTAGTGCATTAGAAACCCCCACTGTGTTTCTTCTTTATTGCCTTTTCAAAATCTATTTTTGATATAGGAATACATGCCTAGCTATCATATTGTTTAGTTTTGAAAAATTAAGATGCAAACACAAACTTAGCTATGTGAGGAGGGGCAGAATCATCTCTATTTGATGAACAGTCTGTAAGTCATAGCCTGGCATCATCTTGTTTGATTGCTGACAGGAAACTTCTGGAAATTGGTAGGCAAATCTGTATGTGTGTCCTAGGAAATGTAGGGGTGTAAGGGCATTGGACAGAACTCTGAAATGGAGTACCAGACATCAAGAAGAAATATGGTTAGACACAGTGAATTACAGTGTGTCTTCTCCTTCTTAGCTTACCACGTTTTATTTCCAGCTCTTACATAGTTCAAAGCACAATACTTCTGTGGGGTGAATGAGTGTCTTCAACGATATGGCAGCAGAACTTGGAGGGGAAAGTAGAACTGCATCAAGTCTTAACAAAGACAAAGTAAGCAGCTGGGTGCAATGGCTCATGCCTGTAATCCCAGCACTTTGGGAGCCAAGGTGGGCAGATCACTGCAGTCCAGGAGTTCACGACCAGCCTGGCCAACATGGTGAAACCCTGTCTCTACTGAAAATACAAAACTTAGCTGGGCATGGGTGTGTGTACCTGTAATCCCAGCTACACAAGAGGCTGAGGCACAAGGATTTCTTCAACCTAGGAGGCAGAGGCCGCAGTGAGCCGAGTGACAGTCCAGCCTGAGTGACCGAGGAAGACTCTGTCTCAAAAAAAAAAAAGACAAAATAATTACACATCAAAATCTGACCAGATTCACTGGACTTTCTGTTCACCTGTTAAATAGAGTATGCAATAGTATTCAACATCTTGGTGGTAACAGCATTCAACGTGCCTGTCTCTTGAATTGCACTGCCTCGATCCTGATCAGTGTCCCCTGGAGCATAGCTGTCATGCTACGATCTTTCTCCATCATCCTGGGGATTCTCTCTGCCTCTGTCCTGTGTTAGAGCTCCTGTTTTATTATGGATACATAAGAGTTGTACATATTTATGGGGTATATGTGATATTTAGTTACAAGGATACAATATGTGATGATCCAGTCAGGATAATAGAGATAGCCATCACCTGAAGGATATGTCATTTCTTTGTGTTAGGAACATTTCAATTTCACTGTCAGATATTTCAAAATATACAGTAAATTGTTGTTAACTATAGTTGCCCTGTTGTGCTACCAAACACTAAATCTTATTTCTTCTAACTAACTGTATTTTTATATCCATAAACCATTCCTACTTTATCCCCTGCTCCTCACCACCCTTCCCAGTCTCTGGTACCCATCATTATACTCTTATCTTTTCTGAATCCCGTATTTTCCTCTCTCTTGGTTTGCCCTCTCATTTTCTTGCATGTATCCTTCAGAAGAACCTTGAGAAAGAATGCACAGAAGTTATTGAGACCTTGCATGTTTGAAGGTATCTTTGTCCTGTTCCCATGCTTTATTACAAGTTGATTAAGTATAGAATTCTAAGCCAAATTCTTTTCTTTCATATTTTGGAAGAGATCACTAGTTTTTTCTTGTTTCCAATGTTACTACTGAGAAGTCAGAAGCCTTCTGTTTTTTAATACTGTGTATGCTACTACCTGTTCCTTTTTGTTTTTACCTCCAGTGTTCTAAAATTTTACAAAAATATGCCTCTGAGTACATCTATTGGGCTAAGCACTCACTGGACGTTTTCAATCTGGCAATTTATAGCCTTTTATTCCAAAAATTTTTCTTCCTCCATCTTGTTCCTTCCAGAATTCCTATTATTCAACTGTTTGACCTCCTCTTTTTTCTTTTCCTTTCTTTTCTTTTCTTTTTTTTTTTTTTTTTTTTTTTTTTGAGACAGGGTCTTGCTTTGTTACCCATGCTGGAGTGTAGTGGCGTGATCTCAGTTCACTGCAGCCGCTGCCTCCCAGGTTCAAGCGATTCTCCTGCCTCATCCTTCTGAGTAGCTGGGACTACAAGCATGTGTCACCGTGCCTGGCTAATTTTTGTATCTTTTGTAGGGACAAGGTTTTGCCACATTGTCTGGCTGGTCTTGAACTCCTGAACTCAAACAATCTGCCTACCTTGGTCTCCCAAAGTGCTGGGATCACAGGGAGGGGCCACTGTGCCCAGCCTCATTCTATTTCTTTGTCTTCTTGTTCTACTAAGAGAATTCCTCCAATTTATCTTCTAAACTTCTATCACAAAACTTTCTGAATTGATGGAAATGTTCTTTATGCTGTCCAATACCTTAGCCACTAGCCACATAGGACTTTTGAGCATTTAAAATGTGACTACTGCAAATGAGAAGTTGAATTTTTAATTTTATTTATTTCAAGTAATGTAAATTTAAGCACAGTGGCCAATGGATACCACATTGAACAGTGCCAAGTATTTGTTTTCTGCCTTTACATTTTTAATTTCCAATTACTCTTTATTTTTCATAGGCTTTGTTACTGTTTCACACATATGATATTCCCTCTTATTCCCTCATTTCTCTCTGAGAATATGATTATAGCTGTTGCTTTTTTTTTTTTTTTCTTTTTTAGATAGAGTCTCGCACTGTTGCCTGGGCTGGAGTACAGTGGCATGATGTCCGCCTACTGCAACCTCCACCTCCCAAGTTCAAGCAATTCTCCTGCCTCAGCCTCCTCAGTAGCTGGGATTACAGATACCCACTACCACGCCTGGCCAATTTTTTGCATTTTTAGTGGAGACGGGGTTTCACCATGTTAGCCAGGCTGGTCTTGAATGCTTGACCTCGTGATCCACCCTCCTCAGCCTCCTAAAGTGCTGGGATTACAGGCATGAGCCACAGTGCCCAGCCTATAGCTGTTGCTTTTAAGTCTTGAATAATTTCTGTTTCCTCTAAGTTGCTTTTTTGTGCTTGTTTCTTTTGGTCTCTACCTTTTATATAATAGACATTCATCAAATATACGGTAATCCTTGGTGGTCTGCTCAAAACTAAGACTGGAAAATTAAAAAATGTATTAGAGGCTGGGCATGGTGGTTTATGCCTATACTATTACTTTGGGAGGCCAAGGCAGGACAATCTCTTGAGTCCAGGAGTTTGAGACTGCAGTGAGCTATGATCACATCACTGCATTCCAGCCTGGGTGACAGAGTGAGACCTTGTTTCTAAAAAGCAAAACAAAACAAAAACCATATTAAAAACTCTGAGCTTGTAAGTTTCACTATAGAGAGATGTGAAGGGGGCTGATGGAAGACACTTGGTGTCAGCATTTTCAAGTACTTTCTTTGTGGGTGCCAGATTCCCTCAGGCAGGAGTCTCAATCTTCCACCTAGAGGGTAAAGTTCTAGCTGCTGCTTGCTGAGGGCCAAGTTGAGGCGAGAGGCTTGCAGGATGACCTTTTAAGCCCCTTTGGTGAGAATAAACATTCAGACTTCCGCCAGAGTGAGGAAGGGTCTAGGGCTCTAATTTTTTCCCAAACAGCTTTCATCTTGGTTCTTATATTAGCTCCCGAGGAATTTTATCTTTGAGGATTTTGTGGTATATATGTGGTTCGTTCTCAGCATTCTCACTGGCAGTTTGGGATTTTGTTTTCTCATATTGTTATGAGAAACATATTTGTTAAATCAGTTAACACTGATCCACTGGTTTTGCAGCTTCCAAAATGTCATAGCTCTTGTCTCCTTTCCTATTATTTTAGTCCTTGTGGGTTTAAGTCTTAAAACAAAACAACTCCAAAAAAATGCCTACTTTTGTAAGGTCCAGTTCCTCTGGGAAGCACTCTTTTGACTCATCTGCCTTTAGCAGAATTTAATCCTGTCTTTCAAAAGATTTTTAGTGTGGTGCACAACGCATTGGATTCTAATCAATTTGTTTCCATATGCCTTTTTCCCCAGAGAAAATATGAATCCTAAAATGTCAGGATCAAGTTTTTTTTTTTTTTTTTTTTTGAGACGGAGTCTTGCTTTGTCAGCCAGGCTGGAGTGCAGTAGAGTGATCTTGGTTCAACGCAACCTCCGCCTTCCCGGTTCAAGTGATTCTCCTACCTCAGCCTCCTGAGTAATTGGGACTGCAGGTGCCCACCACCAGGCCCGGCTAATTTTTTGTATTTTTAGTAGAGACGGGATTTCACCGTGTTAGCTAGGATAGTCTCGATCTTCTGACTTCAAGTGTCCTGTCCGCCTCGGCCTCCCAAAGTGCTGGGATTACAAATGTGAGTCACTGCACAGCCAGGATCAAGTTTTACTCTAATTTTATCAATAGCACCCATCACAATACACTAAGTATTCAATAAATGTTTACTATCTACAGGAATGTGTAATTAGGCTCCAAAAAGAATAGTGCTGAATCTTTTTAAAAATTGGACACATTCAAATACATGCTATACTGACTAGGAATTTTTAATTTCTACTTATTGTCAAACTAAACTAAAACTGAAAGCTGATGAGCTGCTCCAACAGCATAGGAGCCTGTTTCCTGCACTTCAGATAGAGCAATGTTTGGTTTGAGCACCCTCTGGTGGCATTTCGAGAAACTAACTTCTTTCACAGCCTGATAATCTGGTTCTGTTGCTGTTAAAAGATTGACGGAAAATATCTCTTATTATCTTAATTTTTTCAGCTGAATATGCATGACTTTTGCAATCGGAAAAATTGTATAATTTTTTCCAAAATAACTTTGAGTTTCTGATACAACAGAAAATGTTAGAAAGCTGAACAAACACACAAATAGAAATTATATGTATCTTCAAATGAATCTATTTCTAATGTTTGCTTTTTTTTTTTTTTTTTTTTTAATTGAGAGTCTCACTCTGTCACCTAGGTTGACCAGGCCACCCAGGCTGGAGTGCAGTGGTGCGATCTCGGCCCACTGTAAACTCTGTCCCTGGGGTTTCAGCCATTCTCCTGCCTCAGCCTCCCATGTAGCTGGGATTACAGGCACATCCCACCACACCTGGCTAATTTTTGTATTGTTAGTGGAGATGCGGTTTCACTATGTTGGCCAGACTGGTCTCGAACTCCTGACCTCAGGTGATCCACCTACCTCGACTTCCCAAAGTGCTGGGATTACTAGTGTGAGCCACTGAGCCCTGCCTACTTTACCTTTCTTATTTCTCAATCTGAGTCAGTTGAATTATGATAAGCCTCAAATCTAATCATTTATAATTCAAATGATAAAAAAATCTGGAATTCTACATACTAGAAAGTCCATTTTTTTTTTTTATGCCAAAAAAATAGAGTTTCTTCCACTCAATTTCAAAACAAATCTGAAACTTTTAACATACAGGTTTAAGCATGTTTATTTAAACAAAGACACAAAAATGTGCAAAATGAACTTTGATGGATGATATATTTTTTAAGTTTTTATTTTTATTTTTTTATTTTTTATTTTTCTTTTTTTGGTTTTTTGTTTTCTTTCTTCTTCTTCTTTTTTTTTTTTTCTGAGATGGACTCTCACTCTGTCACCCAGTCCAGAGTGCAGTGGTGCAGTCTCTGCTCACTGCAACCTCTGCCTCCCAGGTTCAAGCGATTGTTGAGCCTGTCTCCTGAGTAGCTGGGATTACAGGCATGTGCCATCATGCCAGCTAATTTTTGTATTTTTAGTAGAGTTGGAGTTTCACCATGTTGGCCAGGCTGGTCTTGAACTCCTGGCCTCTAGTGATCCTCCTGCCTCGGTCTCCCAAAGTGCTAGGATTACAGGCATGAGCCACCATGCCTGGCTTTACAGTAAATTCTTGATAAGCAACCCAGGAACTGCCTCTTCTTTCCTTTAAAAATTCACTTGCAGCTGCTACTAATCTGAGTATACTCAGGATAACTTGAATCTACAGTTGGAATCCTCAAGTTTGGCCCAAACAAATTCTTTATTTGTATTAATTTTGCCTAAGCTTCTTCCTTTTAAGTTGATTTTTTCATGCATGTTTCACTTTGTTCAGCCTTTATTTGTTCAAACCAGAGTCTAAAGACAAAAAAAAAAGTTACTGCATGATAGTAATTTTTACCTAGGTATTTTCACCTAGCTTGGATTTTTGACTATTTTTTGACTGACTTTGACTATTTTCACCTAGCTAGGATTTTTCAGAAGGCACATTCTTTACCTGTGTCTCACAATCCAATTTCCTCAGAGAGACTTCTGGATTTCCCCAGCACAGCTGCTCATCACAGGCTTCAAGGACAAAAGCCTCACTATTTTTCTTTATGGCAAGTCAAACTTCTGGATGCTGCTGCACTCGTTCTAGAAATCAAAGAAACAAAGTCAAAAGAGTTGTTTCTTGAGATAGAAGCTGAAATGGAGGTATGCACGGTTAGAAAGGAGTACTTATCCCCATCAAATATTGTTATTGAAATTATACCCTATTTCAATTGCCTATTTAACAAAGCAAATAATCTAGAATGTGAAAGACTTGAAACAATTATGATTCATTACAAGGTGTTCACTTAACTTCCAAATTAGCATATCTTCGGAGTAAATGGATTCAGGGCAACTTTAATCTATGCTCCTGGGTTGCAATCCTCAAGCTTGGACCAAGGAAACTCTCTACTTACATTAATTTTGCCTCAGCTTCTACCTTTTGTTCAATAGTATTAAGCCTCTTGAATTGGTCCTATATGTAACTGAGGCTGTATTCATTTTTTTCTCTATGTATGTCATTTTGCATTGTTTCTGTTGCTATGTCTTTAAATTCATCAACATTTTTTTCTGCATTGCCTAATGTGCTAGCAATCCCATCCAAAGGAATTTTTATTTCAAGTATTTTTTCCCCCAGAAATTTGATTTGCTTCTTTTCAAATATCTCTCCTATCATGTCTTCCTTTAAATCTTTGAGCATATTCATAACAGGTGTTTAAAATCCTTGTGTGTTAATTCCATCATTTTTGTCATTTTGGAGTTTGTTTCCACTAACTTCATGAGATATTTTCTTACCACTTAGTATATCTCTCATTCTCTCTCTTTTGAGACAGAGTCTCACTCTGTTACCCAGGCTGGGGTGCAGTGGTACAATCATAGGTCACTGCAGCCTCAAACTCCTGGGCTCAAGCAATCCTCCCACCTCAGCCTCCCCAAGTGCTGCCATTCCTCTTAATTTTAGATTGGATGTCTTCTCACATTTTAAATTTAATGTTGCTGAATCCTAGATTTTACAGTAGTCTTTCAGAGTATCAGACTTTGTTCTTATAGACAATTAGGTTGCTTACAAAGTAGTTTGATACTTTCAGGGCTTGCTTTTAAGCGTTTGAAGACTCTACAGTAGCTGATGCTCTGGGTCCTGCTGTCTAGGGCTATCTTACATCACTAAGGCATGACACTGGTACCTGCCCAAGAGGTTCGCCTTGCCCACTGCCTAAACAGAGCCAATTTATCAAGACAGGGAATTGCAATACAGAAAGAGTAATTCATGCAGAGCCGGCAGTGTGCGAGACCAGAGTTTTATTACTCAAATCAGTATCACTGAGCATTTGGGGATCAGGGTTTTTAATAATTTTGTAGGCGGTAAGCCAGTGAGTGGGGAATAGTGATTGGTAGGGCAGGAGGTAAAATCATAGGAAGTGGATGCTGTCCTCTTGCAATGAGTCAGTTCCTGGGTGGGGGACCACAAGATCAGGTGAGCCAATTTATCAATCTGGGTGGTGCCAGCTGAGTCAAATGCAGGGCCTGCAAAATGTGTTAAGCACGGTCTCGCCGGGAGGCCGAACACACCCACCTCTGCACTCAGCACCTGACTCTGCACCCGGCACCTAGCTCTAAACATGGCTCCCCTGGAAGGCTAATGCAACCCTGGCCGGCTCTTGCACCAGAAAACCTGCCCGACAACCCGACAACCAATGGCGGCCCGCCCCATCCCAATCCCACTCCCCCAGACCCAAACAGAGCACCCAGCTGTGGCTGGTTCCTCCTAGCCATAAAACCCCCCCACCCCAGGAAGTTAGCGCAACTTCTCTGGCCCCCTTTCCCCGGACCGGAGAACTTCGCCCAGGAACTGAATAAATTGGCATTTAATTTTCTTATACTGGCCTCAGTTTCCTCATTTTAAACTTGGCAATAAAACTTACAGGTTTTACAATAGTGATATTATCCCCAGGAACAATTTGGAGAGAGTTAAAATCTTATAGCCTCCAGCTGCATGACTTCTAAATCAAAATTTCTAATCTTTTGGCTAATTTGTTAGTCCTACAAAAGCAGGCTAGCCCCAGGCGAGAAGAGGGCTATCACTTTTGTTTTAAACTCTAAGCTATACACTAAGTTCCTCTCAATGTTAGTTTGGCCTACACCCAGGAATGAATAAAGATAGCTTGGAGGTTAAAAGCAAGATGGCGCTGGTTAGGTCGGATCACTTTCACTGTCTCAGTGATACTTTTGCAATGGCAGTTTCACTTCTGAGGTTACTAGCGCAGGTTCCACGGTGTTCAATCATCTCCTCACCCTGGTTGCTGGGAACCATTCCCAGTTCTGTGTGAGCTCTGATCACTGTTTGGTGTACTGCTGCTCCCGAATCATAGTTCCCTCCTGGCCTTGTGGAGTTTTACTTTTTTTATTCAGTTAAAGATTCAAAGGTATTCTACTAAGCAGATTCCTGAAGCTCTTTTCCCATGTAATTCCCTCCTCTCCAGAATTCTGCCCCACAAATTCCAACCCACTTGGGCTACCCTAATTTCCTCAACTCCAATCCCTGTCTTCTCAACCCAGGAGATCCTAGGTCTCCATTTTTCTTTCTAGGCACCACAGACCGGAAATGGCCTCTGGGCAAAAAGGCAGGGAGATACAGGGCTCCTTTTGATTCTCTTCTCTCAGGTAAAACAGTCCACAGCGGTCTGTTATCCAATGTCTGAAGAGCTGTTGACTATATTTTGTTCTGTTTGCTAACTGTCTATAGTGGGACACTAAGTCCACACCCATTTTCTTTTCGTGCCCAGCAGTGGAAGTTTTAGGAAACTCCTTATGAAAAATGTGAATTGTTTTAGACATGCTATTTTTTAGGGTTGAAAACATCTTTCTCTATGGTATCTCCCCACTCACCCTACTTTTCTCCTTCTCAGGAAATGCCGACCTGATCATCCCGTTCTGGTGCTACCCTCTGGTGACTCGCGCAACTTCGACCCGCACTAGCTCCGCCCACGGCCGGTCACATCCCACCTTCTCCCCCGCGCACCGCCCTCTGGTTCTTCCGCCCGCCCACTGTGGGCTGCGGCGCTGGCGTTCCGCGCGCGCGAGTGCACTGCGCCTGCTCGGCGTGTGGACGCCACACGCTCCCGGAAGTAGGAGGTGGCCGCCGGAGTTTGTGTGGCCGCCGCCGCGGGAACGCGAGCCCGGTAATTTTTCAACTGAGAAAGGCTAAGGTTTCGGGCTTGACCGGGTGAGAGTGAGCGACGGTCCCGCCCTAGCAGCTCTCTTCTGACGTGACACCAGGCATGGAGAATCCACAGAGCAAAGAGGCCGGCGGCGAGGCCGTGGCTCCCGCGCTGCAGGAGTCGCCACGGCGGGAGGGCGGGGAGGAGCCGCCGCATCCCAGTCCTGAGGTGAGCAGGCGGCCCGCGCCCGGTTGTCGGCGCCCGCTGCCCCGGAACTCCAAGCGCCTTGGGCACCCCTTTCTTCTCCGGTGTCCCGCAGAAGGTGCCGGTGCGCGCCCTTGAAGCCTAGCTGCTTTCCCCGTGCCCAGCTCCCGAGCCTTTTGGAGGACGAGGCAGGTGTGTCAGATCAGGACCACCTGCCTCGGTGGTTGAGGTGGTTGTCAAGAAGCCCCCTCAGGGCCGAATCACTTTCTGGGTGGGAGGAAATCGTCAAGATCAGGAGTTCCGTCAGCACTGGGTTAATAGTTTCTAAGTGGGATTTCTGCTGTAAACATTCTATGTTCACGGTTGCTGTTGTCGCTTCATCTAGCCCTTATGAGTAATTTGCAAGGCTTTATATTTTTAAATCGCACCAAGTACTCTAGGTATGTCACTTCATAACTTTTTTTTAATGAAACGCCCACCAGCCTCCCTCATTCCTCTATATCCATTAGGTGGAACATCGTCTCTGCTGCTTTTGCTTATTTACTGCTTCTTTCTCATATAAACATAGTATACGATTGATTGAATGATTTTGACGTCTCATTGGTTGAACCTAGTTACAGTGGCAGTTGTAGAACAGTCTTAAAACTTATTATCTTATTTAACGAATGTAATTGTTGAGTAGCACCGCGGATTGTAAGTGAATACTAAAATTGATTTTTTCCTAATAATAAACATGTTGAGCACTTAATAAAGTGGGTATTTGCAGCAGGCGCCCTAGCTCTTGCTCCTTATGTCCACAATCAATTTCCATATGGCAGCGAGAATGACCTTTGTAATAACATGAATTTGGCTTACTCTCCTCCTTAGTAACTTCGATTTGCTTCTCTGCAGGTTCTGGTGCTTGCCTCAGTTGCTAATTGCAGCTCACACAGTTTTTCCCTTTTGCTCTCAGTGCGCCTTGCTTCCTTGTGTTCTTTTACGTTGGAAGGAAGGTCTTTCTCGTTAAGGGTCTCTATGTTCCTTTTGCCCTGCTTGTACTTCCTTCGGATATTTGCAATTAGCTTTCTCCTTCTAAAGTTGTTACTTTCAAAGACTACTTATACAGCCCTCTCTTAAAAAGAAGTCTTCCACCTGCCTCCCGCTTCAACCTGAGATACATTGTGTCAATCTCATCGTGTGAGTGGTTTTTACAATAAATTTCAAAGTTTACTTTTCATAAAAGAACTGTGTTTGAATAGGCTTCTTTGTATTTCAAAGTCTTGACACTTACAGCTACTTAAGGCCTGGGTCTCTGTTCCAAATTGGCTTTAGTGATGGTAGTAATTGTTAAAAACTTACTGCTAACCATCATTCTCAGCAAACTGACACAAGAGCAGAAAATCAAACACCGTATATTCTCGCTCATAGGCGGGTGTTGAAAAATGAGAACACATGGACACAGGGAGGGGAGCACTACACACTGGGGTCTGTTGGGGGGAAATGGGGGAGGGGCGGGGGGGTGGGGAGGTGGGAAGAGATAGCATGGGGAGAAATGACAGATACAGGTGAGGGGACGGAAGGCAGCAAAGCACACTGCCATGTGTGTACCTATGCAACAATCTTGCATGTTCATCACATGTACCCCAAAACCTAAAATGCAATAAAAAAAAAAAAAAAAAAAAAAAAACTTACTGCTGCATGCTCTTAATGATTTTTTTTTTTTTTTAAATTGTGAGACGGAGTCTCACTCTGTCTTCAGGCTGGAGTGCAGTGGTGCAATCTCAGCTCACTGCCAGTTCCACTTCCCGGGTTCAAGCGATTCTCCTGCCTCAGCCTCCCAAGTAGCTAGGATTACAGGCACACGTCCCCACACCCAGCTAATTTTTGTATTTTTCGTAGAGACAGGGCTTCACCATTTTGACCAGGATGGTCCTGATCTGACACACCTGCCTCGTCCTCCAAAAGTTCTGGGATTATAGGTGTGAGCCACCGCACCTGGCCGATAAATTTTTTTTTTAAATAAAAAGTAGACAGGCGTGGTTGCACTTGCCCATAGTCCCAGTTACTAGGGAGGCTGAATGGGGAGGATCATCCGAGCCCGTGGGTGGAGGCTGCAGTGAGCTGTGGTCATGTCACTGCACTCCAACCTAGGTGACAGAGTGAGACCCTGTCTCAAGAAAATAATAGTATTGATACAGGTTTGTTTTTTTTTAATTGTTTTGTTTTGTTTTGTTTTTGAGACAGTTTTGTTCTTACTGCCTAGGTTGGAGTGCAGGTACAGTCTTGGCTTACTGCAACCTCTACCTCCCAGGTTCAAGCTCTTCTCCTGCCTCAGCCTCCCTAGTAGCTGGGATTACAGGAACCCACCACCACAACCCGCTTGTTTTTGTATTTTTGTATTTAGGTTTCACCATGTTGGCCAGGCTTGTCTTGAACTCCTGACCTCAGGTGATCTGCCTGCCTCAATCTCCCAAAGTGCTGGGATTACAGGCATGAGCCACAACGCCTTGCCATGATACAGTTTTTTTTTCAGTCTCAAGCAAAGTTTTTTTGTTGAATTCAGGTGGTAAATTTTCATCATCTCTAATGCTAGTTGTTTTTGTAAGCTAATAGAAGCTATTGCATATTTATATTTTGAATAAGTAGATTCAGATTTCATCAGAACTCTTTGGAAAAACCTCAATCAAGAAAAATTCTAAGTTTTTTCTTTAGTGTGTAGAGGCAGGGATTTTCCTTTTCTTTAATAGGTAGTGCTTAGATTTTTGGCAACTAAATAATAGATGCATCTCCAAAACATCTGTTATCAAAATGTTCTTTATACAGAAAAAGTTTCTTTTGACAAGCAGTTACCTTCTAGCTTACTGTTAAAATGCATTTTCTTTATCTTGCAACAACAGTTTGTATTCATTTAAAAAAAAATGCTAAAAATCAAGCTCCAGTCCCCTTCCCAATAAGAGGACAGCAATTTTAGAATACTTGTCTTTGTAAAAGAATATATGTAATTTATTTTTAAGTTCAACAACAGTTTAAAAAGTACTTTGTCACAAGATAATAAACCTCTGTTTGGTATAGAAGATTTTCATTGCCACATCCCATAATGTAAAAGATTCTCTTATTTGAGGTAATATAAACCATACATCCACTTAATTGGACACGTGAATATTGCAAAATATTATGGTTCTGTGAAGGTGAATGTTTCTCTCCATATTATGGAATCTCACTTTTTTCAATATCTGGTCACTACTGTATGTGACACATGATAGATGGATGTAGATACTGGTGTGGATGCTGATGCATGTGTAAGTATTTCGTAAACTAATTTTGTGTTTCTGCAGATTAACAATACAAGTACGGTTTTTAGTATTTTCTTTCTACTCCTTAGTGGATTGATCTGAGCATCCTTCTTTGTGAACCATTAGTGTAGGTGTGAAATTTGGGAGGAGATGCTGATTTCTGAGGATTGGACCTTGGCGCTGCCTAAGAACTTCACTAGAAGGGAAGAGATCTAGAACTGGACCTTGGAAAGGAAGCACATTTTTCTTTATATAAGTCATAGTTTATAGAATCTATAGGTGAGGCCGAACTGTTACTTGGGAATAATTTTTGTAGCTACAGTTTTGGATGAGAATTAATAAGTGAATCAGAAAGAGGATTTACCTAAAGAGAAAATCTACTTAAATTAATTAAGACATCTGTTTTGGTAGATGAACTGTTACTTAATGTTGACCTAAATCTTAAAGATGAAGTTTAAAATTCAATGTAAATTTAAAGTCAAAAGATAATTTTTTTATTAAATTGTGATCAAGTAGAGATATCTATTGTAAATGGAATACATTTTTGAAAGTGAATTATGAGTCAAATAGCAATACCTTTTTTTTTTTTTTTTTTCCCCCTTAACATTGTTAACAAGAAACCTCAGTGTGGGCATTCTTTAATTTATGGACAGTTCACACATTGGAACTGCTGACCTCTTCCTAAAAGGAGATGGGTGTTAGTGACTCTTGAGTACTCTGGCACCTTACCTACCATTACCTTTCCAGTAAATGTGTGTTGCATCAAATTGAGAGCTTAGAGTAAGAAATAGTTCCTGAACCATCAGGATCAGTTAGTTCTAAGTCAGGGACTGTGGCCTCTCTGTGATTATCCTTCCTTGATCTGTAATTAAGGTTTACATGAGGACAAAGTGGTAAATTTTAACTAAGGTAACAAGCTTTAATAGGGATTAATAGTAAGTACCATGTATTTTTGAAAATTCTGGAACATAGTTAATATTTATGATATTGCATGTGGAACATAATTAACTTATAAATGAATCTTTGGAACTTAATGTAATAGTAATTTGAGACTACCTGTGGAGAAAATAGAATTGAGTTCTGTTTTGTCTAAACAGATTTTCATTTATGAAAAGAAAAGATTTACGATTCTGTAGTTCTTCTGGATAGCTGACATAAGTATAACTGTTGGAAAATGTGAGTTTCAAAATGAAATGCATTTCCTTCTTTGCTTTGAAGTACTAGGAAGCTTTGAATTAGATTTGCAGTCCATTTTGTTTTTATGTTGGGCAATGTTTGTTAACATTATGAAATGAAGTCAGGTTTAATTCTCAGGAATTCATTATACATGTATTACGTAAAGGTTCATTTACAAATGGGTTCATTTGTAAATAGAATATTGTTTGTGAAGGCTTGGTTGTATAGCTTGTGATATTAATAGTTACCATTAATAGCTACTGTGGGTGTAGGAGCCCAATACACATAATCTCATTTAATCTTTGTAATAATTCTGCCCAACCACTATTTACCATTACCAAATACCATTTTACAGATAAGGAAATTGAAGATCAGAAGTCAATATGTAACTACCCAAGGTCATGCTGCTATTTATAGTAAATGGTCAGCTGGGGCTCTATTGAGGTAGTGTTGACTCCCAGCACTAGTCCTCTTTTCACTTAGCTTTGTTTCCTTTGAAAACCTTGTGACTCAGAATAGAGCAGGTTAAATTTTACTGGAGACACATCTTCCTTCTTATCTTTTCCTCCCTCCATAAACTGCAGAGAGCACTCTTCATGGAACATGTGGCATGAAGAGGCTTCAGAAGTTTGAATCTTTAAATCTGTGGTTTTTGTACTATTTATAAATTATATCCTTTTTTTTTTTTTTTTTGGTAGAAAAATCAGTGTAGATTTGATGGCCAAGAAACAAAAGGATCCAAGTTCATTACCTCCAGTGCGAGTGACTTCAGTGACCCAATTTACAAAGAGATTGCTATTACCAATGGTTGTATTAATAGAATGAGTAAGGAAGAACTCAGAGCTAAGCTTTCAGAATTCAAGCTTGAAACCAGGTAATTAAAAATAGCTTATAAAAGTAGTACATACTCATTTTAGAAAGTCTTGAAAACATTGAAATATTAAAAATCATCTGTAATCCTACCACAATGGCATGATCCTATTAACAATTCAAAAAACTGTAATTTACGTTTTTTATGTGCAACTCTGATTATTTCTCTCCATTTTCTAGATGATACGACTGCTGAATCAAAGTCTATGAATGTTTTAATGATCTACTGGCAATGTATAGGATTATCTATCTCATAAAAAGTGTGTTTTTCATTTTTTCAGTTGCTAATTTACATGATGGATAGTTATATTCGTGAGATTTTCTTTTTTTTTTTTTTGCCTTTTTTTTTTTTTTTTTTTTGTAAAGAGTTTGTTTGTTTGAAACCAGGTACAGTAATCTAAAAACATCATTCATTTACCAGGAATTTTTTTTGGTTTTGCTTTAGTTTCTAAAAAATAATTACAATGATGGCGTGCATTATGTTTAACTGTATGTCGAATTAGAAAACATTGCAACTTAGTCAACTTTATACTTCAATGAGATACACATATACCTAAATTTTTAGTAATTTTTTTTGCAAAACAGATCACTTTGCATTGATTTGGGCCATGGGACAGGAATGGCTTTTGGAGTTCAGAAAAATGCATAGATTTTTTATAAACAGTAGAACTGCTAGGCATCGAGAAAAAAATGGCCTGTATGAAATAGGTGGTAACTCTTACTGTTTCGAGATATCTCTGAATCATAATTCTCTTATGATTAGTATTCTTTGTCTACTTTAAAATAGAGCTTCGCTTCTCTTCAAAAGAGCACAAATACATTTTTTTTTTAGATTGTCTACATCATAATTTATGAAATTTTTGACTCCCATTTCCCCAGTTCTTTGTTACGAAGGTATAACTTGTAACCTGCAGAAGATTTTCTGAGCAAAATTATTGTCCTTCCCAGGTGTGAAGTTTAGTTGCTTACTCCTGGCTTGCATGGGAGCTGGAGATCTAGATGTATGTTTATACATTTATTCAACAAGCCTGCATTGAATTCTAAGTACTGCACTAGACATTGAAGTTATAAAGGTAACTACAGATATGTTCGCCACTTTGGCAATCTCAGTCTTTTGGGAAAACATACAGAAATCATCACAATATGGAGTGGCCAATGCTATATTGCAGGTCTGGCCCGGTACAGCATGAGAATACAGAGGAGAGTATTTCTCAGGAATTCAGAAAGATGACATTTGAATTGTGCCAGACAGAAAAGGGAAGGAGGGTATTTCAGACAAAAACACAGAAACTTTTGTAGTTTGTATGGTTTCTGCAACATGATCTTGCCTTCTCTTCAGTTGTTGTGCAACCAAAGTTATAGGACATCAAAGTGTACCACACATATTGAGAACATGACTTTTAATTTTTTTAAAATGTTTTTTGAGACAGAGTCTTACTCTGCCCCCAGGCTGGAGTGCAGTAGCGTCTTCTCAGCTCACTGCAACCTCTGATTTCTGGGTTTAAGCGATTTGTGTGCCTCAGCCTCCTGAGTAGCTGGGATTACAGGCATTCACCACCACGCCTGACTAATTTTCATATTTTTAGTGGAGATAGCGTTTCTGCATGTTTCCCAGACTGGTCTCAAACTCCAGCTCAGGTGATCCACCCACCTCCCAAAGTGTTGAAATTGTGAATGTGAGCCATCTGGCCTGTGGAGGCCATGACCTATAGTATATTTTGTCTTCATTACACAGTGTACCTCAGGAACATTTCAGAATGATACTGAGATGCAAGGTTGTAGCCAAGTTGTGAAGGAACTCTGTGCTAAACTCTGCATCTTACCTTGTAAGCAGAAGGGTGCCACTGAAGATATTAAAGTAGGAAGTTGGCATTCGTGCTCAGTTCTCAAGTAAGGTAAAGAAAGAATTGAAGGGTTTTGGTACTGGAGGCATTTGCCATAGTCCACAAAGCTAATGGGAGCCATAGCAGAAAGAATTAAGGAGAACCAGATTCTGAATATTTTTCTGAGTTGGAATTGGCAAACATGGTGTTTGGTAGACCAAAGGAGATGTTAAAGATAACAGGTTCTATCCAGGGCAACTAGTTATGTTTGTCCTGCCATTAGCTTTGCAGACAACTCTGGTAAATGTAGTTACTACCCCTAGTACACCTCCCCACCAGCACCACCACCAACAAAAATTAAAGTAATCCAAAGATGTCACATGACACAGAGGTCATTCACAGTGCCTTGATATGAAGGGTTAAGCAGTTTTCTCCCTAGGTTTTGATAATTTGGAAAACTTGAAGCAAAGAAACAGCATTAAGACATTTTGACTTAAAATAGCTAACAGGTTGATTATTAATATTTTCATGGGTAGGATTTTTTTTTTCAATGCTTAATTGTAGCTTAGAAAGGAAAATAAAATATTTAAAAAGTTTTTAAAATAGCCATTAATTATTTAATATGACCAAAATATGATACTTAGCACTACACATTAATTATAATTTAGATTCTCTTATTTTTACTTCCATTTCATATTGCAGGCCATATAGGATTCATTTACATAACACTGAGGGAAGCCTGAACACTGGTTGAGACTTAATTTTTTGGAAAAATACTGTTTGAAGAATGAGATCACCTGATCAACCATTGTTACCTGTTAGGAGGACTGTTCTTTCCTCCCATTACTCCATTTGTGGAGAGTGTGTGTGTGTGTGTGTGTGTGTGTGTGTGTGTGTGTGTGTGTATGTATGTGTGTGTTTTTCTTTCAGACAGAGTCTCACTCTGTTGCCGAGGCTGGAGTGCAATGGCCCAGTCTTGGCTCACTGCAACCTCCGCCTCCAGGGTTCAAGCCATTCTCCTGCCTCATCCTCCCGAGCAGCTGGGACTAGAGGTGCCTGCCACCACGCCCGGCTAATTTTTGAACTCCTGACCTTGTGGTCTGCCTGCCTCAGCCTTCCAAAGTGAGCCAATGTGCCTGGCTTGTGAAATTTTAAAGCTACCTGTAGTGTTAAAATCCCCTAAATCATATTCTACCCATGATAAATTTAGAAACTTACTTGTAGTTAAGAACCTACTAGTATGATGATGTTCCTCTGGACACGGTTTACTTAAAGTATATTCTAATTTAGTTGTCCTAGTTAAGTAGCCAACAGACATTCACCTTTATATGCTAGGCTCATAACACTTTCATATTCATATGAATCTTTTGAGTTGACTGATCTACAAAAGTCAAAAGAAAGGAAAGAGATAATATCTCTCCAACACAATTTTTCATATACTTAAGTTTATATTTGGCCAGTAGGATAATTTAATATTAATTTCAATGTTTGTATCATATATGCTATCTTAGTATATAAGGCAGTGTGACTGTGTTGGTGGTATATGCTGATAATGTTTATGGTTTGAAATACCAGTATATGTTGGAGAAAATGCTGTTATATACTAGTAAAATGAAAAACTACTTGTGAAGGAAAATGTTAATGTTGTAATAAACATGTTATTTTAATTAGTTCTTTGCTAACTTAGCTTTGAGTCTTGGTTTTCTTACATTGGTTTTAGCTAGCATTTGCTAAATTATGCTATGATTGTCAGTTTCAACCCAGTGCAGGTAAGAGTTTTGATTCTTGACTATAAAATTTACCTAAGCATAAATACTCTTCTTGTACTTAGAGGAGTAAAGGATGTACTAAAGAAGAGACTGAAAAACTATTATAAGAAGCAGAAGCTGATGTTGAAAGAGAGCAGTTGTGCTGACAGTTACTATGACTACATTTGTATTATTGACTTTGAAGCCACTTGTGAAGAAGGAAACCCACCTGAGTTTGTACATGAAATAATTGAATTTCCGGTTGTTTTACTGAATACGCATACTTTAGAAATAGTAAGTGAATATTTATACTTCAATTGTATTTCTAGCAGCAACTATGCTGGTGTTTACTGGTAATGTGGAAGACCTCATTTGCTGTTTACCTAGAATTAGACTTCTGAAGTCAGCTTTTTTCTTTGCTGTGAACTTTATATCAGCTTGATTAATAGAAAAGCTATAATAAAGCAATTTTAGAGACTACTGCTTGCTTTTTGCAGTTGCTAAAGTTAAAAATTTTTCCGTTTGCTTAGAACATCTGGGTGTGGACATCAGAATCTCCTGGTAAGTAAAAAAATAGCATACTAATGATACTAATGCCTGGCCCAAGTCCCAGAGATTCTAATTTAACTAGTTCTGTGATAGGGCCCCTGACATCAGCATTTTTTTTTGAAGCTTCTCATTTAGTTTTAATATGCAGCTAGGCTTGATAAACACTGCTGTGGGCTAGTGTGATCTCTAAGAATGATAATTTACAAAAATGACTTTTGAATCTCTCTCTGGTGGAGAAGTTATGGGGGAAATGACTTATATAACCCTGGTTTCTAAGCCAAATAATATGTATGCTTTAGATACTTGTCAGTGCATTGTTTGTTCAGAAAGTCATAGGAATTCCCTGAAATAATACTGTTTGCCTTAAAAAATCTGAGCAAAATATCCTACCATCTCATCTCTCCAAAAGTCACTTCTGTGATATCCTCAGTTGCCAGCCCACTTGGGAGTTAGTATAAAAAGGTTGTGAGTTAACATGCATAGGTTATTCTTCATGCTGTTCACAATCTCTTTTAGTTGCAGTCTTAATTAGTCTATTTCTATAATTTTCTCATCCAAAGCAGATTGATGGTCAGTAAATTAGAAGGAAAGATGACAGTTATGAAGGCAAATAATCTTGCATCACTAGATTTTACGTCTTCTTTCTTACTCAGGGACATTACTCTAGCAATTCTCCCTGATTTGGACATTAAGATTTATTACTTTCTGCTATATTGCTGCCACTACACACAAACATTATTTTCACACCATAAAAAAACTTCATCCCACTGCGCTGCCAGCTACTCCATTTCTTTGTTCCTCTTTTTGGGAAGATTCTTCACATAAGTTATATGTACTTATAATTTATATGTTTGTGTCTTTCCTTTTCTCCCATTCTCTCTTAAATTCATACCATTGTGGGTTTAAATTTAATTCAGTTTAAGCTATGTATTCCATCCCATCATTCCACTAAAATCATTCATCAACATCATCTTTGACTTCTACCCTAAATCCTGGCAAAATTGACCATTCTCACTTTTTTTTTTTTTTTTTTTTTTAGATAGAATCTTACACCTAGGCTGGAGTGCAGTCAGCTCACTACAACCTCTGCCTCCCAGCTCACTACAACCTCTGCCTCCTGGGTTCCAGCAACTCTCATGCCTCAGCCTCCTGGGTAGCTGGGACTATAGGTGTGTGTCACCATGCCCAGCTAATTTTTTGTATTTTAGTAGAGACAGGGTTTCACCATGTTGTCCAGACCATGTTGTCCAGGCTGGTTTCGAACTCCTGAGCTCAGGCAATCCACCTGCCTTGACTTCAAGTGCTAGGATTACAGGCGTGAGCCACCACACCTGGCCATTCTCACTTAAAAAATAAAAAAAACACTGCACTGCTCTAATACTCTTTCCCTGGAACATTTTCTTCAGGTCTAACTTCTTCTGCTTGATTTTTCTCCAGCCCTACTGGGTTTCCCATTTGAATTTTTCTTTCCTGTTTCCTCCTTTCCTTCCCAGCTTCCCTGTATCAGATGACCCAGGTCTCAATCCTAGCTCCTCTTCTCTGCTTACATCCTGTTGCTTGATGATCTCATCCAGTGCTATAGCTTTCAGAAGCTGCCTCTATGCTGGTGACTTTCAGATACTTAATTCCAACCCGTACCTCTGTTCCATCCAGACTGCTTACTTGATGTCTCTAATTGCATGGCTCAACCTGTTGAACTTACCCCAACCCATTCTATCTTCCGCTTTCTTTAGCTTGGGTGATGGCAGCTTTTTCCAATTAGAATCCCTCTAATTTCTCAGTTCAAAAACTTTGGAGTCATCCTTGGCTCCTGTTTCTCTCATATCCAGGCCATCAATGATTCCTGTTTGGCTCTGCCTTCAGAATAGATCCAGAACCCAGGCACTTAACTGAACTGCTGTGACTTCAGTCTGAGCCCCTATCATTTATGTGATTTACTACATTCTCCATCTAACTGGTCTTTGTGTTTCTGTCCATGTCCTACAACCAGTTCTCAGCAAAGTGGCCAGAGTAATTCTTTTAAAACGTTAAGTCAGGTCATTTCACTCCTCTGCTCAAAACCCTGCACTGGCTTCTCATTTAACTCACAGTACAACCCATATTCCTTATATGATCTGGCCTGTTGTTTCCTCTGATTGATCCTGTCTTACTATTCTTTTCCTTAATTCATTCTTCTGCAGGCATACTGACCTGCTTGCTGATTCTCAAAAATGCCAGACATGCTTTATCCCATTACTTGCCAGGACTTCAGCTCCAGTTTTCTTACCAGAAGTGTTGCTGGCTGATCTTTTTCTCCTTCTCTCCTTCCATCCCATTTTTCTTTTCAGTCGTTCCTTAAATCTTACCTGTAAATAAAGCCTAGTTGATTATCCTATTTAAGAGTGTGTCTTATCCCACATACCCCATGTTTCTGATCCCCCTTACTGCTCTGCTTTTTCCTTTGTTGACTCAAGGGAGTCTCCTGCTTCATCTTCCTGAGTAGCTGGGATTATGGGCACCCAGGTTCCTTTACTTTTAGTAATCCTTACTACCTTTTAACTTAATGTAATTTATTTAAGTGATGATTAAAGATTTGGTCAATGAATGCATAGTTCTCTCTAGCATTCTTCTGTTAAAAGTATTTAATAGTGAATAAAATTTTAGTAATATCTGTTTAGTACTATTGAATTGTAATTTAAGGAAAGGTGCAATATATTTTTGAAAGAATTTCATTTAAAATTATAAAATAGTGATACTTAAAAGAATATAGACTTAATTTATCTGTGATACTCAAGTGGAATTTTTCTGCAATATGTCTGGTGAGTAAAGAGTATCTAACTTTTGAAATTCAATTTTTTTTTTTCTTTTTTTTTTTTTTTGAGGTGGAGTTTCACTCTGTCTCCCGGGCTGGAGTGTAGTGGCGCAGTCTCGGCTCACTGCAACCTCTGCCTCCTGGGTTCAAGCGATTATCCCACCTTGGCCTTCCGAGTAGCTGGGAGTATAGGCACATGCCACCTTGCCCGGCTAATTTTTGTATTTTTAGTAGAGATGAGATTTTGCTATGTTGGCCAGGCTGGTCTCAAACTCCTGACTTCAAGTGGTTCCCTCCCCTTGGCCTTCCAAAGTACTGGATTACAGGTGTTAGTCACTGTGCCTGACCTTAAGTATTCTTTTTTGTTCTTTACTGGTGGTCATTTACAATTCTTTACAACCATTTATAGCTCATATACTTAATAGATTAGTATGTAGAAAGAATTTATTCTTAGGAAGTATAAATGCTACTTAATTTTTAAATCTTGTCTCATAAAGAATATTTTTTTTATCATTTTCTCTATATCTACTTCCTAGGATTAATAGTTGCTGCCTTCAAATCTTTAGGCTTTGAAATTATCCTTAATTTCTGAAATGTGACTTGGTATGTTCTGGTTAGGGAGGCATTATTGGACTAGAGGAAAAAGCACTTAAAGATTGTAGCCTGATAACAATATTGGCCTCACTTAGTTTACAGAGTTATAAGCATAAAATAAGACTATCGTGAAAGCTTCTTGAAAAGGTTAAAATCTGGAGGAGCTGGGATTACAGGCACTCGCCACCATACCCTGTCTAGTTGTTTGCATTTTTAAGTAGAGATGGAGTTTCACTATGTTGGCTAGGCTGTCTTGAACTCCTAACTCCATGATTCGCCCACCTCGGCTCCTGCCAAAGTGTTGGGATTACAGGTATGAACCACTGCGCCTGGCTGCAACTCTTAAACTACCTGTATTATACAGTTAAATTTTGACTATTTAGAATTTAGTTCAATTGGATTTTTCTATGAAAATAAAGACTATTCAGGAGTAAATGAGAGAGCAATAGTTTAGAGCTAATTTATTATAACTGAAGACTGGCATTTCTCCAAAAGAATTCATAATTTTTAAAACTCTTAGTATCTTGAAGTAGAGGTTGCATTAATAGGCTTTGTAGTTTTAAAATATTATGAACAAAATTATATTTTATTCCTCAGGAAAATACTTAAATTTGGGTTCGTCTTACTTTCCACACACTTGCTTTATCTTTATTTTGAGTGCTTTGGATGTGGGGAATTATCCTTAAAAACTGTGGAAGGGTTTATACCATGAGATCCTATAATATTATAACCTGGTGTAACTGGATTTGTCAGTAGAATGTATTGTGTATCTTAAGTCGTATAAATTACTTTAACTTGCTGTCCTTCCCTTGCAGGAAGACACATTTCAGCAGTATGTAAGACCAGAGATTAACACACGGCTGTCTGATTTCTGCATCAGCCTTACTGGAATTACTCAGGTTATAATTCCAACTTCTTCTTTCTAGAGTTTGAAAGAGTTTCTGAAGATAGGGATTTATTTTTAACATAGTTTAAAAAATTGTTACTGTTGTGAACAATTTAAATTAATATCTTGCTTGGTAAAGATCTTTCGTGTTGTAATAATTTAAAACACAGCAAATTTTACACCTGGTAACATTTTCCTCAGCCTTTTCTCTTAAGGAATTGTAGTGAGGAATCTAAAGATTTCATTTGTAAAATGAAGCATTAACGAATTGTTACCATACTGAACTTGGAGATAAGTTTGTTTGTTTGATTTATTTATTTGTTTATTTGAGATAGTCTCACTCTGTCACCCAGGCTTGAATGCAGTGGCGTGATCTCGGCTCACTGCAGTCTCTGCCTCCTGGGCTCAGGCAATTCTCTTGCCTCAACCTCCCAAGTAGCTGGGACTACAGGTGCGTGCCACCACGCCCAGCTAATTTTTGTCCTTTTAGTAGAGACAAGGTTTTGCCATGTTGGCTAGACTGGTCTTGAACTCCTGACGTCAAGTGATCTGCCTGCCTCGGCCTTCCAAAGTGCTGGGATTGTAGACGTGAGCCACTGTGCTTGGCCAGAGATAATTTTTAGAATGTATCTGTTTACAACCTGACTTTATATGTTGCGTTTATTTTTAATTTTTTTTTTTTTTTTTTTTTTTTTTTTTTGTTTAGATACAATTTCACTCTGTTGCCCAGGCTGGAATGCAGTGGCACAATCTTGGCTCATTGCAACCTTTACCTCCCAGGTTCAAATGATTCTCCTAGCGCAGCCTCCCAAGTAGCTGAGACTGTAGGCATGCACCACCATGCCCAGCTAATTTTGTTTTGGTAGAGATGGGTTTCACCCTGTTGGCCAAGCTGGTCTTAAAGAACTCCTGACCTCAAGCCTACCTTGGCCTCCCAAAGTGCTGAGATTACAGGCATGAGCCACCACACCTGGCCTGTTTTGTAAATTTTTAGGTCTCTGATTTTTTGTTGTATTCTAATGTTGTAGGCACTTTGTTCATTTATTTAATTCCTTCATTCATTCACTCTACATGTATTTGAGTCCCTACTATAATATATGCCAAGATTTATATATATCTTTATGTGTATATAGATGTATGTCAGTCTTGTGGTCACAGAATGGTTAGGACTGATAAGTCAGTGTTTTATTGGGGTATTATGGACATCTATGAAAAGGTCTTCCATTTATGACAGAGGGAATAAAAGACTGTCCTGGGAAAAACATTCTCAAGTTGATGAACTTAGGCTGAGTCATAAAAGGTAGGTAGGCAAAAAAGAATGGCTGGGCATTTCTGGTGTGAACTGGCAGAACTGTAGGTCGTTCAGGATGGTTCAGATGTGTATGGCCTAGCAAGAAAATGGTCCAGATAGGCAGAGGCAATCCAGATCATGAAGGGTCTTGTGCATATATTTATCCTGAAAGCTGTGGAGAGTGGTTGGAGGATTTAAGTATGAAAGTGATAGGGTGGACCAGATTTATGTTTAGGAAGATCAGTCTGGCAGCAGTAGATAGTATGGTATGGAAAATTGTGAGACCTGAGATGGGAAGACACTTACGGAGCTGTGGCTTTCAGCTTAGAAGGAGATTTCTCTTTTTTCCTGTCTAGAAATCCAATAAGCCACTAGGTTGAGGCCTGTAAAAAGAAAATTACTGGGGATGATCTTAATTTTGGGAGGATTATACATTTCAGTTGAAAGTAGTCCCTAGTGCTTGGTTATAAAACTTTTCAAATTTCTTAAAAATGAAACTTTAGTTGGAACTAAGCCAAGGAAATCATGAATCTAAAGCATCAGCCTTTCTCATACTGTTCATTTCCCTCCACGTTAGGTCTGGGTATTTTGTAGGGCTACGTGAAGCCACAGCCCTGATTTTTATATATTTTACTTTTATATCCTCAGGATCAGGTAGACAGAGCTGATACCTTCCCTCAGGTACTAAAAAAAGTAATTGACTGGATGAAATTGAAGGAATTAGGAACAAAGTATAAATATTCAATTTTAACAGATGGGTAAGTAGGAAGATTATTTTTTATATCTACCTTTTAAAGATTAAAGATACCCTTATTTATTTAACTTTTAGAATAATCACAAAAATATTATTAAAGACCCTAGAGTCTCACCCCACAGGGGACAGTATATTTCCTTTCACCTAAGGATGAAAAAGAGGAAGAAAGCAGTGGTCACAGTCTAATCCAGGACTAGAACACTACAGAAAGATAAATATGTTAACGCTAAAAAGACTTTCCTAAAACTGTTTTTATCATGACACTTCCTTGCTCAAAAAAGTCCAGATTCCCGAGCTTGGCATTGAAGGCCCTTTCATCTCATCCCACCCGACCCATTTAATCTAATTCACCTGCCATTAATCCTCTTTAGGCAGACTGGCCCAGAAATTCACATAGTTTGTCATTTCTCTGTGTTCTTATGCTTCCCTTTCTACTGAGTCTCTTCTCAACAATTTATCATTTTTCAAAGCCCATCTTGTGTTTTACCCTGACAGCCCCATTGATCTTACAGCTTCTATGATGTGTACCATTCATGTTGACATCTGACCATGTATTCTGATATATAATCTTTATGTACATATGTAAGACTTACTTTTGCAAGGAAATTTAAAATTGTTTGAGAGTAAGGACTTTTGCTGCCTGATAATCTTCCATAATGCTTGCCTTAGTGCTGAAATTAAGGTGTATGCTCAAAAAGCACTGGTTAAATGGGAAGATTAGAAAGATTAAAACACAGATTACAGACATTGTGCCAGGGCATCTTCTATACCTTAAGGCCATTAAGGTTGAAAAGAATGTCCTACACAACTTCTGTTTCAGACTGTACAGATTATCCCGTATACTTGAGATATTGCCAACATAGAGGGTTTAGAGATCCTCACATACGATAGGAGAAGAGCACTGAATTTAAGCACATCATAATTGTTAAGTTTGGAAAATGTTTATGGTCCTCTTTAGAAATCTGTTATTGATTTTAAACATTAATGAGCGGTGTTCTGCCAAAGTATACAGGTGTTTCTGCCACAATATAGTATATGCAGTTCTGTTACAGTCTTGTTTTCTGGGACAGATCATTCACAACCTATGTAATTTTGTAACTAGGACACTATCAAAAAACAATCATTGGAGCCTCCAGAAATAATTTGGACAGCCCAGGCAAGCAACTAAGGGAAGGTGAGGTTGCCTCAATGGATATTAAAATTGGACAGAGGCACTGGTATCCTGGGGACATACACTTGTTTTTAATTTTCTTATAGTATGGTTGACAATATTATAAGAAAATACAAAGGATTATATCCTGTTCCCAGTATAGCAGCTGAGTTGAGGGCTTTTTTAGTTTCCTGCAGAAGGTTATGATTTCTACTGCTGTTATTCTGACTCTCCTTGCCTAAGAAAAACCACATATGAACCAACACAATTTCCATATCACACAGTTAATATTGTCCTTCTTAACTACAATAAATTGATTAGTGTTATAGAAACGTTGTAGCAGAACAGATTGTATTTTAACCATTTGATATCAGCTACTTTTGTCTCTTTCAATTTTTTGTTTTTGGTTTTATTTCAAAGCATACTCTCAAAGAACTTACTACCGTAAGTCTGGCATTAAAAGTAAGCTTAGCAGTTAATACTCAGCAAGATAGAAGCCTGCCCAGAGCCATAAAAAGAATCAAGATGGACCTAATAGGAATTAGTGAACAAAAATTAATATATCTGACTTCTTTGTTTTGTTTTTAAAGCTTAATTTTGAATAAATAAAAAATGATTTAAAATACTCATTTGTAAAATAGTATAGCATATATTTAATCCATTTTTTCTCCTCTTTTAATTTACAGTTCTTGGGATATGAGTAAGTTCTTGAACATTCAGTGCCAAATCAGCAGGATCAAATATCCTTCTTTTGCTAAAAAGTGGATCAATATTCGGAAGTCATATGGAAACTTTTACAAGGTGAAATTTCCATATTTAGTAATTATATGGCCCTTGATAAATTTGCTAAATTTTGCATGTATATTAAGTTGTAATTTTCCAGGTGTTTTTCACTGAAAAAGGCCATATAATTAGTTATTACTTTTCAGATTCCAAATTAGTTATGTTCAAATTAGATAAGCCTTTTTCTCATTCAACCTGTTAACTTTATTTAAATAGGTTAACTATATATATATCTGACAAGTTTGAAACTGTAGGGGTGATCAGTATGTGAATTGTTTGTGCAGCAAATGCTCCTCACTAGATTTTAATTTTACTTTACTTTTATCAAAGCAAATTTGCATGTGTAGTGTAAATGTTTAAAATATTATTGCAAGACTTACAATGAAAGGCAGTCTTCTGCCATAGCCTTCACCAAAACTGGTTTCTCTTCTGAGGCAAACACTTTCAAGTTCTTTAAAGCTGGTTTTTTTTGTTTTTTTTTCTTCAAATATTTACCTTTATATTTTAAGTTTCATGCTTATACTACTTCTGGACTTTGTTCAGTTTGTGATTTGTTGAATTCCCGCAATGAAAGATGAAGATTGAGCTTAACTAAGCTCCCACTCTTGCATATCCTTCCCTCCCTGCATCTTCCTATTACGTTTCAGTCAGATCGCTCAGTGTTCATACTCTTGTGACTATGGAGAGTGTTTGCAGTGTTTCCCTACATGTAATAATTTACTCCTAGGGTCGTTTACTTATCCCCTTACTCTCCATTCACACTGTACGTTGCTTCTCATGACTGAAAGCACTCAGGTAGTCTGCCAAGTCTTTTTTTCCCTCTATTTTTCCCTTGCAGACTATCTTCCTGGAGCCTTTAACCCTGTTCTAATCTGAACTGTTAGTTCTTCAGGCTTCTTTTAAAATCATCTTAGGGGATTTCCTTCGATTCTCCATCATGTGTCAGATCGTGTGTTGTAGTCTTTTTCCCTTTATGGGTTCATTTTGGAGATGTATGTTCTAAAGTAGTTTCATGAGAAAAGGTGCTTTTCCTTAAACAGTCTCTTCTGTTTTAACAGTCTTTTAAAACTGAGAAGTATGCATGCAGAAAAGTAGTTTTGAAGATTGTTATAAAGCAAATACCCTGTAACTTCCACCCACTTAACTCCCTTCCTTCCTCCTGGAGCTAACCCTAATTCTTCCTTTCACGGTAATCATTTTCTTCTTATTCCTTATAGCTTTAATACTTATATGTATATCCTTATACCATATAGTTTTGTCTGGCTTTGAGCATGATATAATTAATGTTATACTGGCTGTATTATTTATTTTCTTTTTCTCACAGCATCATGCTTGAAATCCATCCACATCGTTTATGTCACTGCAGTCCATTCACTTTGTTGCTATTAATTACATTTTGTAAATATACTAGACTTATTTATCTGTTCTACTTTGGCTGGCCATTTGGATTGTTTTTAGTTTGAGCTTCTGTGAAGAGTACTGCTATAAGCATTCTTGTGCATGTCCCCTGGTGTCTTTGTGCACTCATTTCTCTAGGATATAAACCTAGGAGTGCAGTTGCTGGGTCATAGGATATGTACATCATTGCCATTACTAGATAATGCAAAAATAATTTTTCAGTGGTGTGCACTCTTATCAGCAATGTGTAAGTTTACAGTTGCTTTAAGTCTTTGCTAGCATCTGATATTACCAGACATTTTAAATGTTTTTTTTTGTTTGTTTGTTTTGTTTTGTTTTTTTAAATCTGATGGGTGTATGATACTATCTCATTGAGGTGTTAGCTATCTGGATTGCCTTTTTGTGAAGCCCTTGTTTAAATTTCTGACTGTTTTTAAAAAAATTTAGGTAGTCTGTTCTTTCGTTATTGGTGTTTTGTTACTGGTTTATAGATTTTTACTTTGGATGCTAGTCCTTTGGTTATATTTGATAATATTTTTTATTTGTGGAGTTTTTGTTTGTTTATTTGTCTTTGAGATGGAGTCTCACTCTGTTGCCCAGGTTGGCAGGAAGTAGCATGACCTTGGCTCACTGCAACCTCTGTCTCCTGGTCTCAAGCAGTTCTCCTGTCTCAGCCTCCCGAGTAGCTAGGACTACAGATACCTGCCACCACACCTGGCTGATTTTTGTATTTTATGTAGAGATGGAGTTTTGCCATGTTGGCCAGGCTGGTCTCGAACTACTGGCCTCAAGTGATCTGCCTACCTTGGCCCCCTCAAAGTGCTAGGATTGCAAGTGTGAGCCTCCACATCTAGCCTTTTATGTATATATTTTTTTAAACTCATTTTGTGAATTTTTTTAAAAAAACTGTGTTATGAAAAATTTCAAACGTATAGAAGTAGATAGCTATAATGAATCCTCATGACCCAGTTTCAACAATTACAATCTCATGGCCAGTCTTATTTCATGTGTATCCCCACCCACTTTCCTCTTCCTTATTATTTTGAGGCAGAAGTCAGACATTATGTTACCTGATCTGTAAATATTTCATCACATATGTCCAAAAGCTAAGGGTTATTTTCTTAGAAACACAGCTACCATACCATTTTCACATTTTTAAAAATTAGCAGTAATTCCTTCACCAAATGGTCATATTTTCTTTTACCTTTAGTGTGTTGAATCAGATCAGAATAAGGTTCACAGATTTGTGGTTGATTAACATGTCTCAAGTTTTTTTTAAAATACCTTCTTTAAAGGTTTTAAAAAATCTCTTCTTTTTCTTCCCTGGCAATTTATTTTACTTTTTTAAGAAATCAAGTCATTTGTCCTGTTGTATGTCTCCTTGTCTGGATTTCATAATCATATCCTGCAGTGCGGTTTCAGAAGTGTCTGTGTCTTCTATATTTCATGTAAATTCACATTCCAGTTGAGGAGCTCAATCCCCTTTAGGTTCTTTTTTTGCTACAACTCCCAAATGGAATAATTTTTATTATTAAAAATTAATAAACCTCAAAGTAATTTTCTCTCAGGTCTGTATAAATCTACAGCTTACAGTAATTAGTGTAATCAGAAAGTTGTAGATATTATAAGGCAATAAAATACTCCCTGTGTTTTTGAGTAAACAGTGGTTTTTCTTTGTGGACCTGTTTATTTTGGCCAGTTTGTTAGCCTATTCTTTTTTGTATGTGGTTTTTCCCTCTTCATAATAGATAACTATAATGCAGTTAGTAGTATAAGTAGAAGAAACTTTATTTTCCCTTTCTGTTTTCTTTTTAAATCTAAGACCTAAACAAAACTCTCTCACAAATTTCTACTGTATATAATGCTAATAAGGTATGTTATATGGTATGTTCAAAAACATTTTTTCTTTAAAAGAAAAATGACTTTTTTTTTTTTTTTTTTTTTTTTTGAGATGGAGTCTTGCTCTGTCACCCAGGCTAGAGTGCAGTGGGGCAATTTCAGCTCACTGCTACCTCCGCCTCCCGGGTTCAAGCAATTCTCCTGCCTGAGCCTGCTGAGTAGCTGGGATTCCAGGCATGCGCCACCACACCTATTTACTTTTTTTGTATTTTTATTAGAGACAGAGTTTCACCATATTGGCCAGGGTGGTCTCAAACTCCCAACCTTGTAATTCACCTGCCTCAGCCGCCCTAAGTGCTGGGATTATAAGCATGAGCCACCATACCTGGCCAAAAATGACTTTTTATTCAACTTTTCTTGAGGACAAAGGGTGGAAATGGGTAAACTTGAGATTAATCTCTTTCATAAATTTAAAAGGCAAGTAACTGTAATACATTTCTGTGAAATAATTGGCTTAAGCTAAAATGGGACTTGGTTTTTCTGAAAGTAGGCTGAAAAAATATGAGTACAAATACAGCCTAAGACACCTTTTTATACAAGATTTTGCGGGAGGGAAAACAAACTTTCTTTGTGTGTGATATATCAGGCTCAGATGTGGGCTTAGCATTTAGAAAATTATATAGCTGTGTTTATTTTTACTTTTTTTTGTTGTTGAGATGGAGTCTAGCTCTGTTGTGCAGGCTAGAGTGCAGTGGCGCAATCTCAGCTCACTGCAACCTCCATTTCCCAGGTCCAAGCAATTCTCCTGCCTTAGCCTCCCAAGTAGCTGAGATTATAGGCGCCTGCCACCATGCCCTGCTAATTTTTTTGTGTTTTTGGTAGAGGCAGGGTTTCACTATGTTGTCTGGGCTGGTTTTGAACTCCTGACCTCAAGTGATCTGCCCACATTGGCCTACCAAATTGCTAGGATTATTGGTTTGAGCCACCACACCTGGCCTTCTTTATGTCTTTGTAGGTCTGTGTATATGCATTAAAATGCTGTTATTGAGGTAAAAGGAATGATGAAATATACCTCTTTACTGTAAAATCTGTTTGCTTTTTTCCTCCCCACCCCCTTAAAAATACTCAATTGTGGGTTGAATTTAAGATAAGCTCACATAGATTCATTTTGTTTTGAAATTAGACAGTTTTTGCCCTTGGTCTTCAGGCTTGTTAAACAAGAAAAAGCTTGCTTACACATGTAGAACGTTGAAACTGCAGTGAAATGCTACTGATTTGAAGTGAATGACAGGATACTTTGTAGAAATCCATAACTTTTCTAGGGACAGAGCATTAAGTCTCATCTCTGGCATACAGTCAGATTGTACCTATAAATCCTTTAGAGTCAAATTCTCTGGTTGAGCAGAGATTCAGAGAAAGGATCCCTTACCTAATCATACTCTGGTGTTGAAAGGGAGGAAAAATACTTAATTTTCTCCTATAGTTTTTCCATATTGCACCCAGTTAGACTTGAGACTTTAAAATACCTTTCCTTACTATCGAGCCCAAGCAAAACATTTTAAGGTTTTCTGTTGTAACATGATTATTTCCAAAGACATACTTGGTTACCTTTGAAATGCAAGATTCTTGTCACTTGAAGTCAAACATTTTCTCCAGCTTCTTATAAGGACTTGTTCAGCTGGTTCATGTGATGAAAGATGTCTATAAGGAGGCTACATTTTGCAGCCTTTCTTCAAACTGCTCAGCAAATCTGGCCTTTTTGTTTTCCTACTGTTTACCTT